ATCACATCTCCGTTTACTTGATTCAATGATAGTCTGTATCCTATCAGTGCTTGCTACGCTAAGTTCCTTCTTGATTCCATCTTATTCACGGCAGAAGCAACACCCTTCCATCTGTACCTTAAAGATATATTTTTGTTTTTCTTCCTATTGATATTTGCTGATCAATTACTGAAGGTGAAACAAAGAAGAAGTCTGAACTCAAGTACCTTTACAAATCTCTTTATGCGATGTCCGAGTTCCACATACCTTGTCAGCTTGGATGACTCTGTACAAGTGGTCGCGGTTCAAAGTTTCATCCAAACAATGGCACTGCAATTCGTCTGCTCCTTCACCTTCATGTAAGTTTTTCAGCTCTCTAGACCCCGTCAGCTTGCACACGTTGACGCGGTTTAACGTCTCATCCGGACGACGGTGCTGCGGTTCGTCTGTTCCTTCCCTTTCATGTCAGTTTATGCAATTAACTATCAGAACAGTTTCTGCTTTTTATGGCAGTTACAACTGAGATTATCAATGATGGATGTCCTCATTTGAACATTTCGCTGAAAACAGTTGTGTGGTTTTTAATGGAATGGCCTAATCTGATTCTGTGCTCCTCAAAACAAGGGATTGAATGTCCATTTGTTTCGTTCTTGATTCCACGTGATCCTTACTGAAATGTCTTAATCATGGGGGTAGACACCAAAATCGTTTTGACACCATTTATAGTTACTGAGACATTGATGAAAACAAAATTTTCAGTAATGGCGGACTTCATTTGCATATTGTACAGATTGATCAAGGATGACAAAGTGGCATCATACAGATTCTCGAAGAGCACACTTCAGAGGAATACAAGTGGCAAAAAAACTTTGTACGGACCGCATTGCAATTTTCTCCAAAAATCTTTGGTTTGGCAACCGGACTAGTAGAGAAAGAGATCTCAGTGATGTTGCTACTGACGAAATGATGTTTAAGCTTTAAAACAGCATTCTAAGTTTATATTTAATGATGCCAATTAAATTGGAGGCACTGTTTTTGCGTTGTTTTAAACAATTTAACATTCGGATATATAAACGTTGAATTCATATTAACAATCTCATTATGAACCAGGTTATCATTATTATAATTACTACGTGATGTCTTATAACTAGGTTGCAGTTAAGCGATACGTTAATAATACACTTAGTGAATCCCCGTATGTTGGTTTCATGTATCACCAGGAAGGTGATGGCCGAAACATGGTAAGTACGACATTACTACTCTCATTGGAGATTGATATTAAGCGTTACAATAGCAAACATAAAAATATCTCTCTTACTCTGAAGTCTGACGTACCAGTAAACCTTTCGATATTGAAAAAAAATTCATTTTAATATGACGTTTATCAGGATACATCGTTTATCTAGTTCATCTTTTAAGAATTACATTTGTCAAAAAGTTCCAATTTAATGACTACGTTTTTATTACTATCGTTACTGTAAGCCGAGTGTTCCCTTTGCCAAGTATTAACATATAATCAACTATTCTATCGTTTAATGTAATTAGAAATTTTTGATTTTCAGACAAATAGAACAGGTCACCTTCAAAAACAGTATTGTTTCGATTGTGACAGGTGGCTCATACTTTTAAACCTTGCAAACTCTATATGAATACCCTACATTGCATTTAGTCAGTTATCCAATTTCAGAGCTCATGTTACGCTAAATAACATGTTATTTTAATACTTGGCTAAGGATATATATATCAACAAGTCGACAGCGGGTATACAATAAATCCCCGGTGTGACAATTATCTTGTGGAGTGTACCTACACTGTCGAATGAGTCATGAATAACAGTCCTTGATTTCGCTCAAATATCTTTCTCTGTAAGCTTTATGTTTTTCATTTTTAAAGGAGTACCTTTCGTTACTGAAAACAAAACCCTACTTATGATCAATTGTAAAGATGTCATCCTTTCAGAACAGGCGCGACCACTTTAACGACGGGGATATGAATAATTTAATCGATTTATACAATGAACGTGTCTTCATTGAAGCAGAAGACACTTACTCTTCCGGAACATCAGGTCTTATTTTCCTTCTTTTTTGTTAGGAGTCTCCATGTAAAGCTGTGATATATTGACCTAATTTGAGCTTTAAATTATTATTCTGTTGACATTAAGATATTTCGTTTGTTATCTCAGAAAGTTTCTAAGTTATAAATACATTGCGATCACAGGCGTATTAAACTTGATAGGAAATTATAAAAGTAATTTTGAAATCGACGGTTTTAACACTGGAACCTACATTAACTAGTCTATCGTATAGTATCACACCAAAGAGTGGCGAGTGGTATGCCTCTGGCAACAAAATTGACATGCAGACGGGTATATATGTACGGTCCGAATCCTTACCGGCGATGTCTCCCGTTTAACAAACACAACACTTAAAATTGACCACAGTACATATAAGTGAATAAGTAATTAGGCTCTGCTGTATCGAATTCTCTAAATTTGTATTAAGGGATGCTGTTAACTTGTGTGTCTGCGTGTTCAAACGTTATAAACGACTATCAAGGTGGAAACAGCACCACGAGGCTTCTAGTTAATAGCTGACTAGAATAATTATGGCCTAATTAAGTTTTTCATGAGAGTGTATTTTACCTATGGAATATATCTTATCTAATGCGTCGCCATTTACCATTAGTACTTAAATTACGTGTACAGACGATTAAGATTATCAATGATGACGGACACGGGGGAATCGCCGTACAAATGGCGTTAGCTTGACAAATGTGAGTGAGAAATAGATGTAAGATTTAATTCCATTATCATTGTACCTATCTTAAGGCGTGCATTATGCATAACAAACCCATTTTCAGATTTGTTTATATATGTAGTTCGTGCTTACTGTAACTTTTCGTCACCTACTGGGAGGAAATTAAATATCTGTATCCTGTAAAAAGATATGTTAGAATGGTAATTGTATTATATATGGGAGCTGCATATTAACCCAAACTCTTTCTTATAAGTGCAGTGTCAAAATCAACTTTGCGTTATATCCCCTGGTAATGCATTTTTTTATTCAATAATTTGTTCTTTGTTGAATTCAAATTTGTCTGCACTTTTAAGTACTTGTGACTGAACAGTTGGGACCTTAAATTAAATTATTTCATAAATTTTAAAAGAAAAAAAAAGGTAGATGTTTCTGATAATAAATGTAAAATATCCTGGACCATACTTCTGCACGCGTATACATCAGATGTGCATAATACCATAGAAAATTATCAATAATTCATCTACATTTTATTAATATCATCATTGCTCTGTCTTTCTTTTGATGTAAAATGTTGCGTCATTCTCATTTGTATCATGTATATCTACGGCATTTCTTAATATGTAAAACATTGACTTATTAGATCCAGAAATAGAAAAAGCGTTTATCATAATAGGGAAGTTGAGATCATCACACTTATCATACAACTTAATAAAAAGTTACCCATGTCGGTTTCGTTTCAGGAAAAAGTAAAGAACAGAACACATCGACATCACAATGTTTCTTAAATCGTCTTCATTCAGTTGTTGCAATATTTGTAATTTAAAAAATGTCACGCCGTTTTGGATTGGCAACTAAGTCTGCAGCGGTCACCTTGCGGCTTAATTCATTGCTTAGCTCTACTGTATCTAATTTAGATTTGTATTAAATATTCTCTTCACTTGTATGCCTTTTGTGCAATCTTCGGTATCATTTAGGCATAACAGGGTAACATACATGCACAAGTAGTCTTCGTAGACCTGCTGGGTTACTTGACCATATGAAATTTGGGTGAGAAATGATGATCTCTCCAAGAGCTTTATGTATGCACTCTCGGGCCTTGCAGGCATTTCTTCCCACAAGTATCATCCAGGTGCCACGAAGGTACGTATTTGGCACGAACTCGCAGGAAGCTCTCAGGTGTTATCTATGTGTCTGGTACGGTTACGTCTAACAGGAAAGGTACGCGCGCATGAACAAGGATGTGAAATTAATCATTAATACACATTGATAATACTTCCACATCAAATAAGCTTCCTATAGCTTACGTTGCCATGAATTTGTAAAACGTCAGTCCTATCAACATAGAAATTAATTTTAGTCTCCCACTCTCCGGCGGATGTCACGACAGGGTAAAATAAGTTTCTAAATTTTTAAATATTTCTAATTTTACATGATTTACGGTTTATTCCCTGAATTGTTCCATAATACTTAGATAAAAAGATAACATATTAAAACCGCTATAAGCTAAAACTATGTGACATGTAATATACAAATGACTTTAAACTACAGTCGAACTTCGTTAACTCGAACTCGGAAAACTCGAAGACCCCGTTTAACTCGAAGCACTTCGTCGGTCCCGGCAAAATCTTCTCTTTATTCTAGTAATCAAAACTCGGAAAACTTGAATTCGGAAAACTCGAAAAACTCTGTTAATTCGAAGTAAAAATTTGGTCCCAACAACAAAACATATACTGAATATGATCGGAGAACTCGAAGTATAAATTTTGTGCCGGTCAATTACATTGCTGATGCGCTACGCCGTTTTGCAATTTTACCGACAATAGGCTTTACAAGTGAATATTAATGAACAATACTGTAATTAACAATATTCATGTTTTAGAAAAGTGTTTATTGTTATTTAATTGAATGATAAAAGGTAACCGTTAGATCTTATAATTGATAGATATCGGCGATAAAAAGTGGTTCTACTCACATTGCGTAATTTCCGTGTCTGTCAGCCATAACAAACACCGACCTCTGTATACACTCAGTGAAGCGGAACTAAGCTATAGAAAACAATCACAACACTGGCCCGGTACTAGGCTTAATGTTTTTACAGGACTACGCATGAAACGGTCACATGTGCTCAATTAAACCGACAAATGAGTGAAACAATTATTTAATTAGCGTCGAAGTACTTTGGGCAGAATTAGTGAGGAGATGTCATGAGTGTCACATAGGGATAAAAGCAGGGGTGTTTCTCACCGAAATCATACCCGTTTCGAAATGTCGAAGTCAATTGAGCAATCCAACGAAGGACCCGGTTTATCCGGGGGGATACTTGGATCGATTGATAGGGCGAAGACCGGCGTGAAGAGGAAGATAGAGACGAAGACAGTCGAGACAAAGTACAGAGCGATATTAGCCGTGGAAAAGGGAGACAGGTCAAAATCTGACATTGCTAGAGAATTCGGCATCCCAGCAAATACTTTATCGACATGGTTGAAAGCAAAAGAAAAGATCATGACTGCATACAGCAACGATGGTATAAGCCCCAGCAGAAAGAAGGTAAGAACAGCCAAATATGAAGACACCGAGACTGCGCTACTAAAGTGGTTCACGCATGCCCGAGACAACAATCTTCCGGTAACCGGCCCGATGCTGAAAGCTAAAGCCAAGGATCTGGCCGAGAAGATTGGAGAGCAGAACTTCGCCTGTAGCACAGGGTGGCTAGACAGATTCAAAGACCGACACAACATCAGCTTTAAGAAAATCTGCGGCGAAGCTAAATCTGTAGACATCGCCAGTGATGCAATGACAAAGTGGGCCGACGACCTCCGCGTCATTCTGTCCGAGTATCAGCCCCAGGACATATTTAATGCTGATGAAACCGGCATATTTTTCCGACTGCTACCCAACCGTACTCTCGACTTCAAAGGAACCGACTGCCATGGCGGGAAACGGAGTAAGGAGCGGCAGACTCTCCTCAGGATCTCGGACGATCTCATTCGCGAGGACCTCAGAGCCCAGACCAATACCAGGACTCAATCAAAGATATCAGACTACTTCAGTGACTTTGCGTGTCAACGAAACAGTGAACATTGATAGTGATCGATAGTGTTAAGACTTTACGAACTGGAACTTGGTGTGCTTTCGCAAATAATGTATGACAATGGTGTTTTAATTATGGCCTTAAATTCGAAGACTAGTGCTTATAATGAATGTTCATTTACTTACAGTGCTTTGTAAGTCGACAGGTGTTATCGTAACTAACATGTTGTGTACATGCATACTCTTTAATATAATCTTCCTAGTGTACGCGCCAAATCAGTGATGTTGAGTAACATTTGTTGCACATGCGCAACGGAAGTTTATGTATGTTATCGAAGCAGGAGAGTTCTCATAGTCGGTCATATGTAGTGCTGTTTAGAATGATATCGTAAGTTTTTCACATTGTATGTGTTTCTTAAAATGTTAGATTTGGTTCTATTTTGTTTGTATTATGTGTTTAATTAATGTCAAATTATTAAATTGTGAATGTATTGTGGTTTAAATGCAGATATCAGTATAAAATACTCGTATAAACATACACATTTAAAATAAAAACTTAAATGATTGAAATAAACATTTAAAGCTGATTTTTATGAGAGTATTATTTATATAACCATAGACAAATGTGTTATTGTGACAGGTCATCACTGAGATAAATACAAAGAAAATACCTACACGTCAACAGAATATCAAAAATATACTTTCACATTCGGAGAAACGAAGGCAAAATATGTACAAAATAAGATTTTCAGGGAGACCATTGGAAAATGCAAGGCTAATATGAACAGGTGTTCCGGAAAGGTAAACATTTTCTGCTCCATCTAAATCTAGGACAATATGTGTAACCTCATGTTTACAAGCTAGTTTGACAGAATTCTCTGTATTTTTTCAGCACTGGACCGATTCCGGTAAACGACGTGGGGCTTTTCTCCTACATGACGATAGGATGGTTGACACCACTTATCCTGCGACTTTTCAAAGACAGAGAAAAAGAAATCCGAGAAAATGACGTGTGGACTTGTTCGGAACTGGAGTCATGTGATTTCAACACAGAACGGTACAACAGAATTTTACAATTTGTTTCTATTTGAATATCTTATTAGTAGCAATCTCCTACACAACTTATGGTGTTGCAAAATGAAATGCTTTGTGTATACTCGTCGCAAAAAAATTTCCCTCCTCCATGTTTTGAAGTAATATTTCCCCATATCATCATATTCTTTCCCTCTGTCGTCTCCTACTTTTCAAATGTAGGCCCTAAACATGACTTACGAGGTTTAGCAAACGAAAGAGCTGTTTGATGAGATGTAATCCATTATTTGACTGCCCCGTCCATCATGTCAGTGATATTTAGGGTCTAAATAATTAATTATTTGCATCGTTGTTATTGAATATTGGATCAGGATAAGACTGCCTATTAACATAATACACATATACGATATTAACAAGGAACACCAGGGAACATAGAGATAACTAAAATCAAACTTCAATGTTTCGAAGTTTTAAGGGACTGCACAAAAACTTCCATTCTCCCATCCCAGCTTAATTGAATTAATTGATGATCTTATGACATTTACTATTCCATGATAGAGAGTTGACCTGCGTGATATATCTTTCAGGTGGGTTTGGGAAAGTGATAGGTAGAAAATTCAATTGGGAAATAACTTATCATTTATTGACATTGATTTTACCTATAGGAATTAAATTGCGTGTTTTAATTAAGGAGTGATTTCAGCTTTAAAATTGTTTTATCGAAGTTCAATTTGGAATCCGACACAAGGCTGAAAAATCTATTCCAAAATAAAGGTAAACTTAACTTTTACAACTGTAAGTTCAGGTCTGGCCTAAATGTTACATCACTGTATTTACAATTCCCTTACCATATACCATAACTTGTGTTTTACTGGTGTTGATATTTAAACCAGATATTTTTGTATTCAATTTAAAAATCGACTTATTAAGTGATCTCTCTTGGCCATCCAATATTAGCCCTGTGTCATCCGTATACTGGACATTTAAAATTGGTACATTTCAAATATCGACAAGAATACTTCAGTCATCAGGCAAATGGAATCTGCTACTTAGGTCAACTACAGATTTTAATAAAATATATATCTGTGGGAAGGAATATATCAAATCATGTGAAATGAACTGTTAAAATTTGTTTTCGAAAGAAGTTGTCAAAGCTTAGATTATTCTGAACAATTCTGAATACATGATAATTGCTCAACAAAATTCGATCATGAAAACTCCCCATTAATATAAGAAAGTTATCGAAGTTAACAATAAGTTTGGTTTAGAGTTTTTAAATTGAATGACTTAATTTTAAAAAACCCAAATGATTTGACTTGTTTTTACTATGAATGGAGAGTAATTCTCAAATTTAAAACTTCATTACGATGATATGCAAGATATTTAAGGCGATGACTATTTCTAAAAATTGAAATCGTGTAGATAAGTCATTTTGTATTGATGATAAATGATGATGTGAGGATAAGGATTATTTTATGCATGATGATAAAGCATAAGATCACCATTGCATTTGATAGTGATAGTGTTATGCATAACATCAGGATGCAATGATGATGGTGAGGAAGTGCGTGTGATTATCATTATGATAGTGAGATATAGTGTGATGCATGACGTCAGGATGTGGTGGTGGTGACGATAATGACGACGACAATGATGATATTATAACAGTTTAATATAAAACCAGTGAGTGTGGGAGAGTGTGAATGTCGTTTTATGCCATTGTGTATACCATGTAATTTTTTTCTGAAAAACATCTATACATCGAGACTTTGAATCATTCTTGGGTGGAATGTCGACGTTTTCATGTTCATGTCATCAGTTTCTACCTGAAAGAAGACAACTAATGCCAAATCATAAGTTTAAATCAAAAGGTATTTTTATTTTTAAACATTCTCATTCATGAAAAAATAAAACTTTTTATAGAAATCAATGAGAAAAAATTCAAGGGCATATGTCGATATTCTGACGACGGCTAGTCTAAAATAATAGAGGAACGCATGTTTGACAGATAAATCTACCGCGTTTCCCATTCTTTTATGTTTAAAACTGAAAAGTGACGCTTTGGAATTGAGGGAAATCATCAGATCAGTGATAGGATTTCCTTGTCCCATTAATTTTATTAAATATCATAGCTTGTATGTAAACACTTAAACTTTGATCTGTATCCAGTCATTACTTAACCTCGTAACACAGAGCTAGTAACGGCGCGCTATCGTAATCCCACTGTCAGGTAGCACTCTTTGATGGACCGGGCAAAACCTTCGATACATCAAGAAATTCGAATCTTCGAATTCGATTAAAAGAAATTTGACTTTATCATCTATAAGATCCAAGATTTAATGATGTTTATTTTCAGATTTCACTAATATTCATTCAAGCTCTCTCGCTATTTTTTGTTTGTTTGTTTGGGTTTTTTTGTATTTTTTTTATTTTTCAAACCACACATGTCAAAACATAACAGTTCATAATATGGATTCACTTAAAGACTCACTCAATCCTTCAATCGTCATCATTATCATCATCATACACACTTAAAATCATCAAATTTCCTATCATTGCCATGATCATTCTCATCGAAATTCTCATCAAAAATCTATCTTATCATCTTCAGTATCATCTGCTTATAAGCATTGATTTCCAATCAGCCGACAATCACACAATGTTACCATATTTTGAAAGATCATCAACAAACCAATCATCCACAGATAGAAAGTATATTTAGATATCATCAATGATTCAATATGTTAGCCTTGTATCAATTTCATTATTGCACAATCGTCATCAATCAATTGAATTTTTCATCTTTTCACACTCATCAATGCAATAGATATCAGACATCACTGCAACATTAATCAATATTATGCAGTTTTTTTTTAAAAACTAAAATTTCATGAGAGACAGCTATGTGAACTCTATATACTTTGGAGCAAGTGTGTGTTTGTGTGTGTGTGTGTGTGTGTGCGAGTGTTTTTTTCTTTTTCTTTTTTTTTTAAAAGAGTAGAAATAGGTAGAATGGCAGAGAGATAGGCAGAGAGATAGATAGAAAAAGGAAATGGGGTAAAGCAAGCAAAGCAAAATGGACATGAAAAATTGTCTTCGGGTAGGCAAACTAAGTACCCATTGTAAGGAGTACATGTAACCACTTTAGAGTAAATTATTAGGTTGAAATCGATTACAGAATACCTTTTTTAAAAACAATTTTGCTCAATATAAATAACATCCTTTTATTTTTGAAACTCCCAATTATATATCTAATCCATTGCCATTTGTGTAAATCAAATATTTTTAAGGTAGATTTCAGCAAGGCCTTAAAGTATAACTCATTGTAATTTATTATTTTTACCTATTCTCCAATTTTTTTTGTCTTTTCAATAAGCGTTTTTTTTCCTTTTTTCCTTAAACTTTCCACATATTTGCATATAAGGAATTACAAATATTTGCGTAATTAATAATTTATCGAATATTTATTTTATCAGTTTGGATACACTGTGGAAAGACGAGCTTCAAACCCATGGACGAAACCACTGCTCCATTTACAGAGTTTGGTTCAAATTCATATGGGTTCGACTGCTATGTATTTTTATGGGCGTCTGTCTAAGCGCGGTGGTAACATTTCTAGTGATGGTGAGTTTTATAATTCTCCATTCCTTACTTGATTTGTTCTTGGAGTTTAACTAAAACTTGTGTAACTCCCATACGTTTGTATAGCATTATTCGACCTCCTATTGTAAGATTAACATAAACAGCAGATGTCTCCGATTGCACTAAACTATCCATAAGTTATTTTTGTATGAATCCATCAGCGATTTCTTACTATGTTGAACATTCTCAGGCATATAATGCTTCTTCGCCATCAACAAGTTGTTGAAGTAACACCGCCTGATTTTGCTGAACTACTCTGATGGTTCTGATTGTAGAAACTTATTAAATGTACTTTTTGGTCTCTTGCGGTTTTGCCATTGAGGATGATGCATATTGTTCTAGATTTACACAAGTGTAAGCATATTTTCAAGGACTAATTT